TGGGAGTAAAGTTCAACTGCACTGTCGTAGAGGAAGCACGAGTGTTAAATTATTATTGGAGATCTGAATGGCTCACCCAAGTTTTTCGTGTAAGCACTAATTCTACACGGTGGCTTTCCGTCTCTTAAAGTTCCGCAGTTTTGGAAACTAATTTTTCGATGTTCCCTTGTTCCCCAAAGCTCCCTAAATCTTATACTTAACTACAAGTATTCTGATTTATCTAATGAGTTTGAAAACTTACTTGGTTTCATCGATGAAAACAGCTTCTAAAACTTTAGCAGCGTAAGCGAGGTTTTTTTGGAGCACGTCCGCGCAAATTTCACCTTTCTGTAACTGCCGCAACAGACATCGGAGTCTGAAACATAGAAAATTCAGCATAAAAACACCCATCATATAGAGGCTAACTAGTGCTGCACCATAGAAGAACGATACATGGAAAAATGTGTCAGGGGTTATCCCCTAAATTGTGGCACCACCCCAATTTGTTGGATGATGTGGGCATTTCCAATTAATCGTAGCAGTGCCGTAACATTTGAGTTAGTAACCTAATTTATTGGTGTGCTACCACAATAATTAGTTGGAAATGCCCATGCCATCGAAAAACCCCTACCTATTTATGTCCGTTTTTATATCGATTTATTATCATCGGCAGAATGAGAGCGGTTATGATATGTTATTATTATTTGTTGGCTTCAATTCGATACAAGGTAGGATTCCTACGGTATCTTCACCATCAACTTGCCGTGCTAAAGAAGAACACTGTGTGAGCTTTCAGACGCTGCCAAATTTCCTTTAACACACCACAAATTTTCGGGTTTTTTGAATATTACTCTTCCGATTTTTCCAAGAATTTTGTCCATAATTTTATCTAAAATATATGAAAATTTAAAGGAAAAATATGCATGACTTTCTTCAAAAATAAATATTTACTGAGAGGAAATTTGGCAACATTCGAATTCTCATATGGCGTTTTCCCTTAGCACGGCAGTAACGACGCACAGTGGATCGAGTCAATAGTAGAGGTCGGACAAAATTTGGAAACTCTAAACGCTTAAAATTCCGTTTCTACAAAACATGGAGGCTCTAAAAGTGGTTCCATCGGTTTTCTCGTGAAAGTTTCTTCTCATACCATCCCTTGAAATTTAAAATGTGACAAAATAAACATTAAATTTTGCAATTTAAGTAAAATATTTCATGTCCGACCGCTCCGATTGACTTGATCCACTGTGCGACGTCTGTTCGACGGGCTTTGGCCGGAACCAGCCGAACTACATATCGGACGTTGCATCATTGGACCATATTTTGCAATTATTAACTACAATTTCTGACTCATTACAGAAACAACATAATGCGCCTTAGTTTCCCTATATGCAAAGAGGTTTTTTTATCTGCGAGATAGAAATTTTAATTTCTAAATGCAAAATGTAGTCGAATAACCCCCTCCGATATTTATTCTTTTGAACAGAAAATAATAGTGGTTCTTCAGCAATTCGATGGTCAATCGATCAATAAATAGTTTCTGGATTTAAGGACTGTTTTCAAGAATTTCTGATGGTTCATCAATCTTAGATGTTTCATGGAGCTCTCAAGGACCATTTTAAACTTGCTTCCAAGCGATGTCTTAACCATGCTCATTCCCAGATTTTTCCCTGATGAGAAACCAAACTCTTCTCCCACTTCCACGGATTTGCTTGGGGGAAAACTATAAAGTTCTCCAAAATTCTAATCATGAAAATCTACGTTTTTCATTCTTTTTTTACGCTGATTTTTTGGCGCATATACAAACTTTAGATTCCAAAAGCGTTCCTGATGTTTATATTATTAAGTCGATGAAAGTTTTTCTATTAATTCTGACGATTCCAACATTCAAGGGGTCATCATTTCTTTTTGCTCTGCCTTGAAAATACTTGTTGATATCTCGTTAAAGGGTTGATTTTCGAACTTCTCGTTGTATGGCTCGTTTTCCTTGGGAAAGTATGAAGAGAAAAAATTTGACGTATAAATAATATTCCTGATCAGTGTTCGAAACTCACCCTTGAGTTTCAGGAGCCATGTGCTCCATCAAGCTCAATTTTTAGGGGCCATTAGAGATTTTTTAGGGGCCAAATTGAATTTATGTCTATGGCGCTTTAAGTGAAAATTTAGAATCTGGCGCCGTGCGTCGAAATTGCGAAAAAGCACCAAACAGAAAAATTAAGATTTTTGTTGTTTTTTTTTGGGGGGGGGGGGGCAATTTTTAGAGGCCACGTTGGCGCAGAACCTTCATTTTTTAGGTGCCATAACCGATTTCTTGGGCGATTTTGGCGCGTTGGGGCCTGTGAGTTTGGAACACTGTTCCTGAGCCTGGACACGATAGAATGTGAGATTGGAGGATGAGGATTTTGGTACACGGAAAAAAAAATAAATGTTGATTCAGCATGTATACTGTTAAAAAGATGTCCGACAAGTTTCAAATGCTGATTTTACAACACACAAATGCTAACATAACATTTTAATTTATACGTTTTGCAGTGGGCGTAGTTACGTTAGCATTTGTTAAAATGTAAAATGAGCATTTGAAATTTGTCGGACATCTTTTTTAGAGTATAAATGGACGTATNCTGCGAATGGGCAAGTCCACTAAATAATTAATTTAAAATGGCTTCATTCGAACAGCTTAGGACGATAAAATGTGGGATTTTAGGATGCTGATTTTAAGACTGACCAGGATGAGACACAGACGGGAGATGAAACAGTCAGATTGAGTTTTGTGCGAGACCAAAGGACGTTTTGCATACATTACATCATTTGGAACTTGGACAGTAATGGCATTTTTTCATGCTGCTCGAAGGTCAGATTGCACACGGGATACAACGGACGAAATTTACGAAGATCATGAGCATCAATTGGCGTTTTTTTACAATCGTTTGGTGCCTTTTCAAAGATCATGTTCGCTTCGACAGGCTTTGTTACAAAGACCCATTATTTTACACTTCAATTCACCTAGAAGAAGCGTTATATGAGTATGAAAATGCCAAATTTTTGCGAATTGCGAATACAATTCTCGAAAAACTCGGTAAAAAATTTTTCCCAGATTTAACAGAAAATGAGTCTTTTATTTAGGTTTCAGGACATTTTGTCAACGATTTTTTGTGCGCGCACCAATTTGTCCAGTAGTTTACGCCCACGCGTAAAATAAGCAACGGTGACTTAGTTCAAGCGTTATATTTTAGTCTGTATGTAAAATTATATTGACAGTATGGAAATGAGAAATTGAGAGAGAAGGAGGTATTGTTATGGTTGCTCATTTTCTAAATGAAATTTTATTACTTTCTCCTTTTGAATCATCTTTTTAAATTGTCATTGGTGATTATTTGGTTTTATTTCTATCCTTAAAATATTCGATGTACAATATACCTCATATGTGTGTCGGTAATTTTTTTTTTATTTTTTTAATTTTTTCTATTTTTTCTTTACGAAATTATTACTTCACTTTGAAAACATTTATATTTTTAAAACGTGACAAATATTTGTAAAACCATTTCCAAGCGACATTTATCTCAATAAGCCGCAGTTGTGCCAACAGAAACTGCAAAAATGAAAAAAGAGGGGAAAAAGCCAAGAAACACGCAATCTTTAGTTTTGACCCATTTGTACATCGATCTTTCAGAGTCAAATACGTCAAATTTTGAGCGTTTGGTTGCGAGTACGCCTCGCTGTAGCACAATAAAAGCACAAAATGTAAAAGGAAAAATTAAAGTGCTTCGGAAATCATTAAATTTGACACGGAACCACCAATATTTAAAAAACACACATTATATTATTACTTTCCTTTGATAAATTGATACTTATATTTTTTTTTCATCCATTTAAATGAGAATAATCAGTGCAGAGTGTGCAAACATTTCAAAATCATGAGTTAAAAAACGCTGACAATGCGAGTATAAATATTAAAGTCTAACGGAGCGGAGCGGCGTGCTGCCATCGCGAGAGGCTCACGGCGCCTACAAACCTAAGTGGATACTTCACGCATTGCACGATGCTTGAAGTATCCACTTAGGTTTGTAGGCGCCAATGCGCGTTACGCGCTGGCCGCCCGCCAGCCGTGCGGCGGCGGCGCCTGAAGCAACTATTTCACAACAGAGGTGTTGCATAGTATTATACGAAATTGAACGTATTAAGAATGACAGGCATCCTTTAAAAGTATAGATCTTTCCTCGCAAAATAAATCAAGATACTTATCTTACACTGGAAAAATCTAAGAGCCTTTAGCTGAGGCAAATATAGAGGTTCATCCGGTTCAGGTATAACGAGGTGGGAAAATCTTAAAAGATAATTAAGTTCTGTTACAGCAAAGAGGTGTAGAGATTTTTAGTGAATTTTGTCCCATGGAATTGACGCTCCCCCATGTTTACCAAAACTCTCAACTATGTATTATTCTCCGTTGGACCAAACAGACAAAACAAAAAAACAAGGAAACCCTCATTCTTCCAAGACATTTGACATTTTCATCCAAAAACGTCGTGAGCAATTGTCGTTTGTATTTATATGTGGGCCAATTAACTTCGGATCTCAACTGGCACGTGGACCAAAACCCCCGTGCCGAAAAAACGCGTGGACGTAAATTACTGGAAAAAACAGGTAGCGGACAAAAAATCGTTGACGAAATGTCCTATATATATAACCTTTATTTAAGGCAATTTGGCAAAGTTTAACTATGCATTAAACATGCGAACATGAAACATTGAAGTATGAGTGAAACAGGGGGTACTCCCCAAATAGGGCTTTGAGGGTGGGGGAGGGGGGTTGAAAATATTTTCATCGAATTCTTTGGGGTCGACTTTCAGAGGTTTTCGTCCCGAAGTTCAATTCTCGACCGTTCCCGAGAAAAAGATAGTGGACGGGTGCTTTGGAACACCCGGTATCAACCGCAATTACCCATGAATTAGAAAGAATACCCATACATAGAAATAACATTTTTGATTGTAGAATTGGAAAGAATAATTGAATAACACATCCCATACTGTAATATTTATTTTTATTTACCACATATTATTATTAGCATGCGATCATTCACGGGAAAAAAGGATGTCAACGGTTGCTAGATTCCTGACTATATTATGCTTCCGAGGAAATTTGGTACTAGTTTTTTGAATTTGAACTTTGAATTCCCTACGGGCTGTTCATTGATATTGATAGACATAGCGATCAACAAAGAAGACAAAGATAGCATGGAGCGATCCTATTTGTGGAACCGGCTGGTTGCGATGAACGAAGGAGGTAAGTAACAGACAAACTATCTGCAACCCACAAGATACCCCATAGTTAGTCCATCATCCCCCCTTAGTCTAGCAAGACCATTTGTTTCCTACCTCCCGGAATGGTCAATGTCCATGTTGTCTTCTTTATCCATCACATTGTCCACCGTTTCCAATATCAGTCCGCTGAAGAGACATTGTCGTGTTAAATATTAATTATTTGTCGAACAGTAGGTTTACTTTCGATAGCCGGTTTGGTCTACGTTGATTCCAGGTTTTCTGGAAGCGGGGAATTTCAATTCACCGGAGGCTGATTATTGATTGTCATGACAAAGAAAACGAAGGGAAAATGAAGAAATCTTATTGGCTGAAACGGATGGTCGTTATAAACTAAGGAGAAAAATAATGTACTAACTACAGATGGAGCCGGTGGTTGCCGTTAGTTGGTATTTTTGTATTACATAACTCCTTTGTCCATGGGAATCACCCACCATCAACAAGATCGCTCCATTTTACGTGTCTATCCTTTGTCTATCGCTGTGTCTATCAATGTCTAGAATCAGCCGGCTGATAATCGTACATAATCACAAATCTAGTGACCACTTTCATCCTTATTCATCCGTAAGGATCAAGGAAGATATACATGCACTGTAAAAAAAGTTACGGGGCTATATAGTCATAACGTCCGTTGCGGGCACAGAGGCCTATAGTTCGGGGTGCCGGGCCCTTAGCTTCAACTACTCTGCTGCCGTGCTAAGGAAAAAGGCTGTATGAACCTTCAGGCGTTGCCAAATTCCCGTTGGTATATCACGAATGTTCGGAAAAATTTGTAAATAGTTTTCTTCCAATTTTTCAGATAATTTTGTTCGCAATGTCACCGAAAGTTCTTGCAAATTTCTCAGAAAAATATTCATACTTTTCCCAAAAATTAACTTTTTATCGAAGGAAATTCGGCAACTCTCGATTGTGCCTACGATATTCTTCCTTAGCACGGCAGTGCGGGTGTTACACCCGGAACTTTCGGCTTCTGAGCCCGGAACGCGGACATATGTCAACATTGCCCGTAAGTTCGGCCTTGACGGCCGGAACTTCTTTTTCAGTTAGCTTTCAAGCTCCCTGATGGACGATACTGCATCCGCCCGAGGCCGGGGACTTGATGTAGACGATCCGATTGAGGAGTTTGATGGTCTTGTCTTGTCCAGCTTTGACGTAGTGTGTGTCTTCGGAGCCGCCGTCGGGCTTGATCCTGGTCGTGCACCCTCTGGCATCCCCGGTGCTGTCGATGTTGAGCCCGGAGTTGTAGATCTGGGAGTAGGCGTAAGATCCCTCCTTGGAGCTCGGAATCGGGACTCTGACTCGGGCAGCAGTGATCATCTTCTGGGTGTAATTGTTGATCCAGTCCCCCAGGAAGTTGCTCCGGCCCAGAGACACGCAGGCCAGCAGGAGCAGAGTGCGTCCTATCGGCAGATTCATTTCCGTCGTCGCTCGTGGGGTGTGGAATCTGAAATTTAGGGTGCACTGAAAAAAATGGCATGCTGTTTCAGCACACAGGATGTCAAAAATGTGTCTGGCGATCCGAAGATGCTGCCTTGATTGCCCACGCAACTAAATTTGCATTCGCAGGATGTAAAGTTAAGTGTGGAGGCAGTAAAGGCAGCATCTGGGGATCACTAGACACATTTTTGACATCCTAGGTGCTAAAACAGCATATTATTTTTCCGTGAAGTAGAAGTGAACCGCGTTAAGCAGAAAGGAACCAAACCACATAAGCTATTGCCAATTTTTAAACAATTTGAACAAACGTGAAAGCTTCATGTAAAATGGTTAGAATTACCTACTTTTTTAAAACTCATCACTTCCACTTAATATATTTTATGTCTGTCTGTTTTATACGGGCATAAAATATATGAAGTGAAAGTGGTGAGTTTTAAAAAAGTAATTTTAAGCATTTTAGATATTGCCAAATTTAATCGGGCAATTTTCATTTTTACTTGAAAAAACTTGCGGATTTTTTTAGAAAATTTCAGTGAATTTTCTGCTTAGTACGGAGCAAATTCCTTAAAGTTTTCAAAGGAATCCGCACCGACGTTCTCTTGTAAAAAAGTAAAAAAGCCCCGTTAAATTTGGCAATAGCTGTTGTGGATTTGTTCCTTTCTGCTAAACGCGGTCCAAGTAGGCTTGTAGTTTTTCAACAAAATAACATTTTGAAATTTTAAAGGTGAGACATTTCATGAAATTTCAAGAATTTATGGAAGTCATTGAATGATACATTGCAAATATAGATTATTGACCCCAAAGTTGAAAAAAGATGAAAATGCAGTCCATATATATTAATCAAATGTATAAAAATGGCGTGTGCGATACGATTGCTTTTAATGTTCCACAATTACGAAAAACCTCTTTTTTTTGCATTAGATAGCTGTGTTGTTGAGGGAGGGTTGAATACACTAGCCCCTGGAAAATATGAAATATTTCAGATCCTTGTGAAATTTCATGAAATATTTCACCGAAATTTTACCATTTTTTGTTTCATTTCACTCGTGCAACCCTGCGTAAAAGGTGACTCTCGCATCAAAAAGTGATTGACAAAATTTCAAAAAAATTCAACCATCAAAAGAAGATTCAACAATGGTTACTTTAACAGTCAACGCATGAAAAATAATTCGATCGTATGAGCCAAAGCTTCGGTGTTTCATTTCAATCGAACCACTCGGTTTATCAAAAAGAACCCTCGGTTCACCTCAATTTAACCGAACTAGAAGAAGTTAGGTCACATGAATCTACACTGGGAAAAAAACACATTGGATCTAGAGTCCAGGCTCTTGAAAACTTTGACAAGAAAAACTATTCTTGATTCAATCAGACTTTTGCTTAAATCAGAAGAAAATCCGCTTAAATTAAGAGGCTTGGTTCTTGATTTAAGCAAAAATCCGATTGAATCAAGAGTATTTTTTCTTGTCGATGTTTTTAAAAGTCTGGACTCTAGACCCAATGTGTTTTTTTTTTCTCCCATTGTAACGTTTGTTTCCTTAACAACCGAAATTTCACTTTGAAAAATCGAACACGTCAATCAGTAAGAAACAGCAAACGTTTAGTTTGTACGATTAACTATTCTTTTTAATAACATATAGCTAAGATTAAATGATAAAATATTTTATTACTTGTTCTTGAATATTTATTTCCTCGTATTTCTCTCACATTTTGAAAAAGCTCCGGATCTGAATCCCGTGATTACAGGCTATACATACAAACCATCCATGCTATACTTTTTCATTTTTTATTCAAAGTTATACCTTACATTTTAACTTCCTACATATTCGCAAGTTAAATATCATATTATGAAAAGAGCCAGTCATACAATAATGACCCCATTTACAAATGTTTTTTATTATCGTAACATAATAGAGGCAAGTTGCGAGATAAGATTACAAGGGTACAGGTCTCAGAGAAATAATTTCCTTCCAAAAATGACTCTACATCGAGCCCCTCAATGTAGTATTCAATCCAAAAAATAAACGAAAACTTCATAGAAGATACTGCGCGAAGTGAAAAATGAATCCACGCTTTCATCTTGCTATGGGAAATCTTTAAAATTAGGTACCTACCTTCTTCTTTGAGGCAAGTAAAAAATTTAACTACACAATCACAGTGCAACACAAGTTCAATCGGAAAGCGGTAAATGTACGTGAATTTTGGGCATTTTTACCACGTTTGTGTATTTATAAAGCTTCTACAGAACTTTCGAGAGAAAACAAATGCGTAAAATTCCAAACAACTTGAACTAGAACAATAGACAACGTCATTATTGAATTATGCCAGTTTGAAGAAGGCACTCAGAATCTTCGTTAAGGTCATGCTGAAAATTGACAATGCTATCGTCGCTTTTAATGTGGCACGATTTTCCGTGCTAATCATCGGGAAACTTTCGGTTGTAGTTAGCGTGACTCACGAGCCAGTCGACACTTTGTAGCGCAGCCTGTCGATGCGTCATCGACGTGGAAACGAAAGTGATAAAACTTTACGGGTTACCGGGGCAATATACCGGGGGATTATAAGTTGAAAAATACTCTAAAAAGGGGCAGAATAGAACTGACAAAAAACTACTATTTTATCATTCAGTATCAACTTTAAGAATCACAGATTCCTGAGAATTTCTTACGCAAGGAACTCTCGGGAATAATTTATCCCATGATTTCCCGTGTATGTGATTACCGTGTATAAGTGGATGTATATTGTTCCGCTATCAAAATTTCCTGATAAGTACATTTTTAAATCGCAAAGTTTCCACTTGTTGCCTCGTTGAGAGAAAGTATGGTATGTGAAGTGTATAGCGTTTTAGTTCTCTCATGTAGAGTGCCTTGTAATCTCTGTATGGGAAAAATCATTGTGAATGACATTTCATTGATAATTTCCGAACAAAGTCTGAAGATTATGAATAAGATTAACCCATCCCTTGTTTGGACAACAAGATCTTCCATTTAGGAGAAACGAACGAAAAAATTAAGAAAGAACAAACATAAATACACGTGGTTAATAATTTTAACTTCCGCGTCCGCGCCGACGGCACTGGGTTTGGCGCAATGCGCGAAGTATTCATGCAGTCTGGTAGGCGCTGTGCGTTTCACGGCACTGTTTGACGCATTGCGTGAAGTATTCATGCAGTCTTGTAGGCACTATGCGTTTCAAGCCGACTGCTGCTGACCGCAGTATGTTTGACGCAATGCGTGAAGTATTCATGCAGTCTTGTAGGCGCCATGCGTTTCATGCCAACCGCCGCGCCGGGCCGAGGGCTTCTCCTTTTCATCTCAGTCCTCGTCATCATTGCTCTCTGCGCCGCTCTGGTCAAATTGCGTGTTTGGTTTCTCTCTTGACTCGACTAATTAAAGGTGCTGTCTCTTGTGCCACCGAAAGACGACAAAATTAGAAAATACTATACTTTTACTCTCAGGAAACGAGAGATTTTGTCGCTTTTTCTCGTTTGTAATTTATTTCCTTAATCAGATTTTTTTTTTTTTTTTTTTTGATACCTACATTCAAAAAGGTTGCAAAATTCGCCGCCCCTTATACATTTTGCCACCATGGGCCGCGGCCCATGTGGCCACCCCCTTAATCCAGCCCTGTAATCTGAGTGTTTTAACATTTTTGCTTCTACTTCATTATTTAAAAGGAGACCGAACCTACAACATGAGTTGAAATATTCATATTGTGTTTTTCACATGGAGAAAAAAAATCTCCGAAGTTTTCAAGAAATGAAGTTCAGTGGTTTTTCATGTAACAAATGAAGTATGACAGGAAGTCTGCAAATCTATATGAATATTTCTGCGGTTTCACCAGCGATATGTAACGGCCCTTTACAACGGGTCATGTGTCAGCCGCGAGTCAATTTGACCCTGCTTGGGCATTTATGGCTCAAGAAATTATTCACTTCAAACGTTTGAATTATTATTAATGAACATTATGGCTTCAAGCTTTCATTCAATGTTCTCCAGAGTAAAACTGCCGCGCTAAGGAAAAACGCCGTATGAGCCTTCAGGCGTTGCCAAATTTCCTTCGACAAATCACTAGTTTTCAGGAAAATGTGTGAATATTTTTTCTCAGATTTTTCAGAGGATTTTTTTCGTAATTTTATCTAAAACGTCTGAATATTTCAATGAGAAAGATGCATAACTTTTTTCAAAAATGCATGTTTTATTCGGGGAAATTTGGCAACTCTAGAATATTCATACGGCGTTCCTTTAGCACGGCAGAATAGAAAGCGGTGAGCATCGAAAATTGATAATTGATTTTTTCAACCCCGAATCAGTTTTTCTTATCTTTTACAGGAATATCTGAATTTCTCCTTCTTAAGAATTTGCCAATTTTTCTTAGCTGGGTCACAAATCATAGGGCAAACTTCAATTATTAATAATTTGAGTCAATTTTGCAACTAATTCTGGAATAGAGTTACTTTCCTTTGCCTGAGCAACGTCGTTTTGCATTATAAAGCGCAATCCTGGTGTACAAAGTGTCCGAGTACCAGAAAACGCTAGCGAGAGATTAGCTGATCCTATTTTGAAACTCTCGGTTGCTAGCTTTGCTTTGTACTGCCGTGCCAAGGAAAAACGCCGTATGAACCTTCACGCGTTGCCAAATTTCCTTTGATAAAACACGACTTTCCCCGTAAACTTAATTATGAATATTTTTCCTCCAATTCTTTAGGTAATTTTGGTCTCAATTTCACCCAAAGTTCCTGAAAATGTCAGGGGAAAATTTTCATAAACTTTCCAAAAAAAAAACATTTTAGTGAAGGAAATTTGGCAACTCTTGAATGGTCATTCGACGTTTTTCCTTTACACGGCAGCGTAGGTAATGATCTTTCCTTCCCGGCCCCGAGCAACTGTTGTCGATTTTAGCACCAACCATCACTCAGTACCGTGTGCTGTATCATTCGGAATTGAAGGCGTTTTTTACTTGGTTGGTAGAAGTGTTGCCCGAATGACTATTTCGCCCTCCATTTATCTTCTCGATAAATCTTCTTTTTCTTTCTCTTCCCTTCAAGTTCTTCCGCTTCAACCACTCTCCTTATTTTTCTCATCATTTTTTCTGTTTTTATCTCTTCCTTCTTCTATTCTTTAATTCAATTCTTCAATTCAATTCCTCTATTCTTCTCTGATTATTTTTCGCCTAAAATAATGAAGTATAAAAGTAGATTTTAAAACCCTACGATGGAGGTACGAATATTTCGGCTTTAGCTCTCAAAATGTTATGCACGTAAGTATATCTGTTCTTTTTATATTTTTATTTGATGAAAAACTTGTTTGAAATCGCAGATAAGTTAATCGATGGCCTCATCATAATTGGGGCGCTCGAAGGACAAGATGCTCATGTACAGTTTTTACTACTTTAGGAAAAACCTGTCAAAGTTTGAAAATTACTTGGAATTGTATTGCGGAGAGAAAGCTCAAACTCACTTTTAGATGCTCAAAATCTTGATTTTAGCAATGCATTTTTTGGAGACTATTTCATGGCAAGTTTCAGCTTGATTACATGCATTTCAATTTTTTTTAATTAGAAAAACTGCAATTTTGAGCTCTATCCTCTGCAAGCTCCTAAATTCAGAGGTCTGTGCGCGAATTCTGTCTATAGATATAAACATGTTTTAGATTTATTTTTCACTGAACACTTTTTTGATCATCCCTATCGTATGAATTTACTTGATTAAGGGAAGAAATTAAAACACTGGAATCAATTTTCATACCAGCAACCAGCTTCTCTGGCGCGGCAATGCGGTGCGGTGCGATGTTCTTATCAATAAATGAATACCATTGCCGCTCCCAGTGTAGTGCTCTCGGTATCAACAAGCTTTGAAGGCGTTTTTTGCCCTCTCTCTCAATGCGAAACGCCTTGCAACGTCAGTCACCCTGTGCCACGATGTGAAAATTGATCTACTTGGTATACCAAGCCGTATCGGATGAGAACGAGGTGACAGAAGGAAATTGGACGGAGTTAAACAGAAAGGAACCAAGCCACATCGGGATCGAACCGAGAAAAAGAGGTTGAAAGTTTGGCTCCTGCATAAGACTCAATGTAAAAGATAAACTTCAAGTTCAATTTCTGCAAAATTTGCTCCAACAAAAACTTTGAATTTTTGATGATAGATAGTAGAGCAGTGGTTGAGTTCAAAACCACTCATAACTCAATTTTTTCCAAAATGTGGGTTGGTTCCTTTCTGCTTAACTCAGTCCAATTAATGTAGCCCACTAGACGAGTGGGAACACAGTTTTAATGATTCAAGGTCCGTCGAAGTGTCGGATATAAAGCTACCACGGAGGTACTCCTGGTACTCCTCGAGAAATGTGCATCTTGAAGTTTTATCAGGTGTATTTACTAGGTAAATTTGTATGCTTACTAACAAATTTATTTTTTTCTCATGATGCATACTGACCCCAAAAATGATCCAATGTTGTTTGACCTCGCGTATCAACTGTGCTCGAAAATGTTTATTTCATGATTACACTTAAGAATAATCTATTTTCTGTTGTGAATTCTTCTCCTTACATCTCCCGCGAATATTTTCAAAGATTGGCATGCAGACTGTATTTTAAGAATCTCTCAGGGCTTATTTCATCGACAGATTATCATCTGAATTTATCCTTTCTCATTTTGGTTATTAAACACCACGTTGAATGCTCAGCTTTGGGAGGAAGCATACAGATATTATACTTGAGTCATAATCTGGAACAATTTTATTTATATACATCGAATTTCTTAAATTTACTATGAATAATCCCTAAATAATGTACAGTTTTCCTTAACTTAAACTACACGAATTCATAGGGTAATATACAAACTTCATTTTTCTTTTTCTTTTTTTTTTTTTAAAAAAAAAAATACAATCTTTATGGGTAAGAGAAAAGGAAACAACGTTAATGTAAGTCTTTAGAGTAATTTACGTAAAGGTGAGGGTTAATAAAAATACAGTAAGGATAAATGTTGTACTTTTTTTTCGGGATTTTTCAACTATAGAAGTAATCACTGAGTTTTCACTCTTCATCTTGACGCCAAAGGCCCCATTCTCGTAAATAGTTCAAGTAATGTGTAACGCATTTGAAACGAGGAAGTTACAATCTACATCACGCTATTTTATGAATGGGGTAGAGAGGGGAGGGGGGAGAGGTTAAAGCTGAATGTACTGCATGAATCAAATGTTCAGAAATCACTTGATGATGATTTATTTTTCCTAGCTTAAGTTCTATTCATTGATGTGTATTTTATGAATGACGGGATTCTATTGGTGTGTCGTGTTACCTATTCGTTGTGAAGATGAAGAGTGTAAAAAAGCTGAACATGTGCGTCACAATACTCAAACATCCCTGCGTAAGACTTTTGCAGATATGAGTCGCAAAGGAGTAGGAGTGGGTTTTTAATCCCTATTTTGATCTGATACAATTAGGAGGTGAATAAAATTAGACAGTCGCAAGTTTACTATTCACTAAAAGATCTGTTTAAAATAACTTTCTTATAATTTGAAAACATTTGCTTTCATTCAAATAACAGTTTAGCGATCCTATTTTTTTTATTTGAAAACTTTCTTTCGTCTACACAAAAAATTGAAACTGATTTTTTTGTCTTTTTTTAATTCAAAGAAAAATAGATTAGTTGCTATGAACAAAAGAACTTTTCTTTGAATTAAGAAAAACAACGTCATTGAATTTAAAAAAAAAAATCCCCCCTTTCAAAAATAATTTTAAAGGTAAAATAAATGTTCTCTCCACCGTGTATATAATAAGAAAGTGAGCCAAAATATGAATCTTTTAAGCAAATACTTTTTTTAAACAAATTGAAAAAAGGTTCACTAACACTGAAAAAGAAGTTACGGGCTGTATGGACATACCGTCCGTTCCGGGCTCAAAGGCCGAAAGTTCCGGGTGCTGGAGCCGTAGCTTCGACCGCTAAGGATGCCGCACCCAGGACTTTTGGCCTCTCAGCCTGGAACGCGGTCGGTATGTCTGTATATCCCGTAAGTACGGCCTCCACGGCCGGAATTTTTCTTTTCAGTGAGGGATTTTTTCTGTATTTCTCGGTATAAAGATTGAAATTAGTCTTATGTAGAGTCCCTTTATACTGAGAGTCAAGACAACACCCCCTCATGGAGTCACAAACGGGAGTAAAGATTACAGAAATTGAACGTTTTTCGTGATCATTGATCGGCCCATTCTCAAACTCCTTTCTCCGTTCCTTCTCTTATTCCGTTTGTTCCTTGCCGAACCCGTAATTCCCTGGTCCATTCCAGATTATAATCTTTGCAATCGGTGAAAATGTAATCTTTATTCCCGTTTGTGACACTGTGCAGGCCTAAAATACGGGAACCAATCAGAAATGGATTCACATTGTCTTGACTCTCAGTATAAAGGGACTCTAGTCTTATGAGGAGCCGGGTTTCTTCCGAAGGGCTCATCTGGGGCCCTAGATCTCGCAGACAAAGTAAGTTTCAAAGGAGCAAGGGGAATCGTTCCACTTCATGCCCTTGCCATCCCTGTTCCAGAGCTCAAGGCAATGCTCTTCCTCGCCGTTCTCGTAGCGGAAGTTGTTGGGCTCGCCAGCGTTCCAGTTGGTGAACGTCACCGGCTTCCCCGTCGACATCCAGAAGAAAGTTCCCTCCTCCGCCTGGTCAGTCCCCGACGTCCAGAAGTGCTCCGCTCCCAGACCTGAAACCAAATCCAAACACTCAATAAAACACTGGAAAAAAACTCCGGCCGTGCACGGAAAAAAATGGAATTGCTGATTCAACAATTTTGTAGTTAAAACAAGTGTCCGGCAATATTTCAATGTAGATTTTACAATAATAAGTTGCTAATTTCACTACCTCTGTGGTTAGATTAGGTGTCCACTATTGTAAAATGTACATTTCAAACATGTTGGACATATTTTTTAACAACTTAATTGCTAAATCAGAAATCTATTTTTTTTTTCGTGTGAGCTACATAAACATACTGTTCACGTTCCGGGCTCAGAGGCCGAAAGTTCCGGGTGTAGCACCCGAAGCAGTCAAAGCTACGACACCAGCACCTAGAACTAACCAAGAACTAATACAAACACAATATGGAAATAAAGCGCGGGGAAAAGATAATGCGCGTTGACAACGGCGCAGAGATACAACTATTCCAGCTTGATGGATGTCCATGCAGCATCTGAAAAATTGAAGGCGCGATGTCGCGACAGACGTGAAGTACCTGTCAATGCTCCGCTGTATGCTGTCAATGAAATGTCGCTTCGATTCGGGAGAAAGGTTAAAAAAGAGGCTCGAATACGCCTCTCCTTCCCTCAGCTGTGTTGATACTCGATTCTTCTTTTTCATTCTTTTTTTGGCTCATGCCTGATTCTTTTTTAGGATGGATTTGCAGACCCACATCTAAAGCTCATGTAAACCGCATCTTTGACTCCGTCCCATTGGAAATAATGGTGATTGGTTGCGTCTAGTAGCTTTTGTTTTTTTTTATTTCTTCTTCAATTTCAGAAGTCTATCGGCTACTTTGATAGCTCAAGTTTGCAATTTTTACTATGTACAATTACTCAACTTTGAACATGAAAATAGCGTAAACTTGTGCTGCTTTGCCAAAGTTTTCTGAACCCCTATCAGGGGAGGGGGTGCCCTCCCGAGAAATATCTCATTACGCTTTTTTAACCAGCTCAGGGTCTATACGCCCTTAGATGCGAGTCAGTCCGACCCTGGAATTCCTTGTTATTTCCCTTTAAGTTTTTAAGCATCTGCGTATTTTGTTTTATCATCGCTGGATACTTTTACGGTAGGACACGTTCACGTTTGAATAATAGTATTTTTCCAACTTGTGCTCCTATATTTGATACATACAAATTACAATACAAGCTAATAATGTAATGAACAAAAGTTGTGCTCCAAAAAAAAAAAAAAAAAAAAAAAAAAAAACTCAATAAGTTCTAAGGAGCATCGCGAAGTCATCTCCGCGAAATGTATTATTTCCCATACCTACACTTGCTTGTCCATCCGCCACAATTGACAATTTCTAATGATAATACTAATCAAGCAATTTATTGTCTTACCTACATAAAATATCATAAGCTACCCACGGAGGTATCACAATATTATTGATCAGTCATCGGGGCGTTGTCAAGTCGCCACTTTCTTGCTCGCTTACTGATTTAAGATCCACAAACTTAGGTTGTCGCATCAGTTATTCAGCATTGAGCACCGAGACAGCTATTCTTTCACCACGATGGTGCTCAAGCCGTTGCTACCCGGCAAAACGCCGACCGCCGCGCCGTGCGAAAATTGCATAACTTCAATTTCTCAACCCGCAAAAATGAAGCGGTAAGATTTAGTGTCATCGCCTACCTACATTGTGTAGTTGGAGCCGCGTAGCTGTTATTTTTGCTGTGAAGCGTTCGATTATAGTTGGTCAGATAGTTAGGTTTCCCTTGAGATTTGGCAACGGCGATTTCGGGAGCATATTAAAGCAATTACGGACTAAATTGCCGGTCTCGAATGGCATGCGAGTATAGGGTGCTTAAAAATACCACTACTCCCACGCCCACGCCAAGAAAAAAATGCTAAGAATGGATTGTTGATATGAAAATGTGTTGGGTGATTTCGAGATGCTGACTCATCACGAGCTCGCGGTTAATTTTACATCCTAGGAATGCAAAATTCATTGCGAGGGCAATCGAATCATCATCTTGAAATCACCAGACACATTTTTTAATTTTAGATGCTGAAGCAGCATTTTATTCGTTTCGCTGTATCTCATGGATAAAAGTACCTATGGTAAAATCTATTAAAATTCTTTCCGAGTTTTGAGAAAGTACGATAAATTAAGGTTCATATAAAAGACGGAGCAAGGGAAAGAAAAATGTACATTCCACTAGGTATTTTCTTGATGTTCGTCACAGGGATGTTTTTAGAGAACGTTATCCCAGTACTGACGATAACTATTACATACAAAACATTAGTATGGTTTGAAAACGATGCTCACATTCACCTAAGAAATCACTTTGTTAAAAATCAAGATAAGTTTAGATGAAATTAAAATTTTCTTATCACTTTGTTAAAAATCAAGATTAGTTTTGATGAAATTAAAATTGTCTTTCAATGTGCTCAGAAAAAATGAAGTTATCTTTAGCCATTTCCGCGAATCTTAGTTCAATGATCGAGAATATTCGGAGAAACCTCTTCGCTGGAGGAAATCTTGTAGAAAGCAGGAAAATTCCATTATTTAGGGATTTTAGACGTAGGACATTTTCCTTGTTCTTGTAAATCGATGGAATTTATATTCAAAAATTGTCAAAATGTCACCGCATCGAAACAGACCCATCCAAGCGTATCTAACACCTCAAAATAATGAGAATGTTTGAATATGTTGACATTTTTCACTCTGATGTTCCTCCGCCGACCGGAAAAATAAAGCGAGAAAGCTTTTCACCTTAATGAGTTTCGTAACAGCTTCTTAATCCTTATTTTTTGTGTAAAACACTCAAGATTGAATGCCAGAACTAGAGGAAGATATATAAAACCTGCTGGACTCAGCATAAAAAATTAGTTCCTCCAATTGTTTTGCTGTTTTGTCAAAATAATTGATTTAGTATCTTCTTTGATGATTGATAAGAGTCAAGAAAGAAGATTAAGGCAGAGTTTTTTAAAAGGATTACAATTTTTCAACAATTTAATTAGCTTTTAAATCAGTTATATAGACGCCCGGGCTCCATCTTGCATCGGATCACGAGCTACTGTACATTTTTTTTCAACCAATCTTTAGACGCGGTGCTGTTTGAGCGTATAAATTCAGTCAAAGTCCTCAGTTTTAAGCAATATTAACCTCGAGGTACGTTGTTGTTTTCAAATTAGACGACAGGAAACATCCAATTAAGACCAAGAATACAAGTATAAGGTTAAAATCAGGGAAATATTACATTCAATTAAACGCTCAATTTTCACTCAATACTGACACAGCGCTAAAGCGCATCGGGAATAATCAATTGGATGCATTTCTGCTAATGAGAACTATGTGAATTAAGGTATGAGCCCTGAGAACCATAAGTATACGTGCATAACAGGGCTCACGTCATAATGCACATAGTTCCGTTTGGCAGAAATACGTCCAATTATGATAATATTTAAATAAGATTTTCTGAGTATTTTATCACGTTTATCCAGTTATGATATACGAAAAACAGTCTTGCTGCAAGATTGATTAAACATTTATCTAATATTTCTATTTTTTAATTTAGTATGTATTCAAGAATTTGAAAAAAACAATATTCATAAATATTTCTATGAAGTACCAATGTTAATATTATTTCCAAATTCATACAACACTTTAAAAAAAAACGTGCTTTCAGTAGCTTCTCCGAAAACATTATACCTTAAAAGGTTATCAATGTTGTGACAATATTCGCGTAACATTCCGTCTTTACTGAGCGTGACTGGGTCCCCATGACATGCCGCTCGCTTCGCGAGGCGTTTACTTTAAGGGCATGTTATGGACTGGTCTCGCCGCCGTGGGTAATGTGTGTTTAACAAACAGACACCTATAATGGCTGGTAATAAATCATAATTGCTCGTGAAACGTAATTGACTGCGAAAAGATGAACTGGGCCCGCAATCGCCGCGATTGCGCAAAAAGCTGTCAAAATTGAGTGTTGTTTGTTTGAGCGGTGCGTTACTGCTACAGCGTCATTTTAATGGATCAGCTGGAATTAGCGTGGTGTCCGCAAAATATGCCGCAGTGGTACCCGTGTTTATTAAATCACAATTTTCTCTCTCACTCTCAGGGAAAAAATTCGGCTATTTGGATCTTGCGGTGCAAACTTCCATTCGGCCGTGCTGTTCTGTTCATGTAATAGGTCAGTTGCGCTAGTCATAGAATCGTGTTTAATGGCATGATTCTTGTAGATACGCTAAAAATATTGAGATCTGGCCAAAACAGCAACTTTCTACGTACAATATCAACCGAGATATCGCGCTTTGAAAAACTCGGTTTTTGACGTCATCCACCGCAGTAGTGACACCCTTGGTGTCATACACCTCGGATTTATCAATCAGTAATACAATTTATACATACATACATATGCATTGGTTGCTCGACTTGAAACACGGATAAAACCAAGGTGGAATAAACCAAGGGTGTCACTACCGCGGTGGATGACGTCAACAACCGAGTTTTTCAAAGAGTGATATCTCGGTTAATACTTAGGTAGAGAGTTGCTGATTAGTCAGATCTTATTATTTTCAGCTAATCTACGAAAATAATACATCAAAACACGATTATGTGACCAGCACAACTGACCCATTGGACCAAAGACACCAAAGAAACCGAGAAACGCACCAAGTTGAAAAAAATTGGTAAGAAGGTGTTTTGAATTTAACTAAATGTAAATATTCTCCTGTAAAAAATTTTAGATCGAGAAAACAATCTTGAACTCCGAAAAAGTCGATAACCTATGTCCTAAACATTGAGCCTTGTGGATGAATACAACTTCTAACGACTCCCTCTCCGAGTTCAGACTTTGATGCGACGTTTGTGATTGTTAATTGTATTCTTGGTTCATGTAACTGAGCTTTTCTACACTTTAGCTGGATTTGAAAGTTCAGTTACACGCACCAAAAGAAGGTTACATGACCCGGATGGTATGATCAATACGAAAAATGGTACCACGCAGTTCATATGACCGAACGTTTTCCTCGCAGCAATGAGTCAAACTTCAAAAATGCTTTAGAGTGAGAAAATCTCTGAGAGCCTCTAACTCGATTTCCAGATTATTATGGACGCCCTGTAACTTTGATTCAGATTTTCCTAGAAGAAAATTAAGAATGAAAGGGAAAGAAAAAGGGAGAAAGGAGAAGAAAAAAATACACCTAATTGCCATCTCAGCACGAGTTCAAGGAGGAAAACCAAACTCAAAATCAAAAGGCGAAAATGAGTCGGAAAATCGTTTAAATGTAAATGTGTAGCTCTATACTGCTGCGCCGAGAGAGAAAGCCGTATGCACATTCGAATGTAGCCAAATTTCTTCCTTTGAAACAATAATTTTTGTAGGAAGTTGCACATGTTTGAACGGATTATTTCGAACCTGAGTTTCGACACTGTGATTCTTCGGCTTTACAAATTTCCGCCACAATTTTATTTTATTCACAGAGAAATTGTTGGTTGCATATATTGAAAAATTTCATTGGATTCTCTTTGTGTTGCTGATGAAATTCAGTGACATTTTCTGATATTGATGAGGAAACATGTCTCGAGGAGGTGTAATTCGTACCTTCTAAAGAAAGTTATGAGCGCACGCTACCTATCGCATCTTAAGGCGCAAAAGCATGCATGGAATTAAAGTAAATGCAACTACATATTAAAAATGATGTCACGCTAATATGGTGCCCATGCGAGCCCAAGTAGTGCTCCCAATGCATGAACTTTCTCTTTTACCAGATCCCCTCAACGGCGGAAATGATGTCCTTGCGCAAGGCCATCCAGCGAGACTATTTGAATACCGACGCGGCGAATTTAATAAGGATCTCGGTGCTAACATTGTGTCGATGACTCCGCCATGGAATCGTTGTTGTCGATCGGGAGATTTTTTCTTCATTTTTTGGAAAGATTCTGAGAATTTCCATGCATACATTGGCACGACTGTACCGAGCAAGTGGTTCCATTATGCACGTGATTGATGGTGAAGCGGGAAGGAGCTAACAAGATCGGGCATTACTCGATTGATTGAACATTAATCTTTCGGTTTTTCGGCTAACAGGTTATTGCCTTGGATTGGTTCACGGATTTTCGACGTTGCAGAGGAGAAAACGAGATTTTTAGGAGATGAAAATGTGTTGAAAGGTGTCGGCTGAATTACTTTTCAATTTTTACAAAGAATATTTGGGCCGCGTTTACCAAAGAGGAACCAAGCCACATCACCTACTGCCAAATGTAACTGGGAACTTTAATTTTTTACAAAGTACGTTTGTGCAGATCTCTTTAAAGATTTGGAATTTGCTTCGTGCTATGCAAAAAATTCACTGAAATTTGCATAAAAATCTGCACAACCGTTTTCATGTGAACAATTTAACTGCCCAATTAAATTTTGCTATGGCTGATATGGCTTGGTTCCTTTCTGCTGAACGCGGTCCATTTGTGTGGTCAATTCTTTGACTTTTTTCTCCGTTAATGATGAGAATTTGTCTTCAATGGAAAAATCAGTATAATTTGAAAAATGGTTTTTTTCTGATTTACTAGGAGGAGAACCAAATATAATCATGGGAAAGAAATAAGATGCGGTTTGATTATTCTACAAGTGTCTAAAAATTGGAATTTAAATACGATAAGAGATCAAGTGCGCATTGATCAAGATTGAAATTTAAGGATAAGTATGGAGGAATACTCCCCAAAAACTATTTTCGCTCAGTGTTGCAAATTTGGTCTCAAGACCTTAGATACCTAGAAGTCAGTCCAGATGTCTGGCAATATAGACTATACGTTTGGTTACGCCTTCTCAACACATAAATCTTAACCCTCACTGATATTGTACTGATTACTAGTTTTTCTAGTAATTATATTAAACAAAGAAGCCAATAACAATTAACTGTCCTTTTTTCAATACGTATACGTCTGATTGCTTGTAAATTTACTCACCGTAGTCTTTGATGTGTTTTTCTAACTTGTCGTTTTCTTCTTGACTGCCTATACTTGCCAAGTGCATGCCGTGATACCGACAATATTGTGTGGCTCTGTACCAGTTGGCCTGTAAAAAGACAAATAAATCAGTCAATGTTACTAAAAGTTCAATAATCCAATTTGATTTTTATTCAATTGTTGTGTGTTCTATTCTCAAAACTGATAGTTTTTTTGGTGAGGCGGAATCTTTCACTCAAAGTTGCTCATCTTCCTGGGGGAACGTAAGAAAATTTTCGTGAATTTCAGGTTAAATCTTTGGATATTGAAAATAGCTGTAATTTATACCTACTTTGTACTATTTGAGTAGATCTGAAGAATTAACTAATTATTTCAAGAGTTTTATCCTCGCACCGGTTGAGGAGGATGGTTGTTTGACCATTAAAAAATAAAAATAAAAATAAATTGTTTTATTAGTTCCTGAGAGAGGTGTTCATGGAAACATGAGGAAACCAGATTTTGAGAAGTTGTGTAGGCAATTTCATATGATCAATCAATGCTCCATCGACTGACGTTGCACTGTTGGTGGCAACAGTGCATCAGTGAGTGTATGCATGGTATTTGCCGCTATTTAAAAGGGTTTCCCGATAGCGCCGAAGAGGTGTGGTCTCTTAGTCCGGATCATCGTATGCAAATCCTCTATTTCACCTTGAGAAGTGGTCAGTGACTTCGGTCCTGTTTTGAGTCACCTTTCGGCGGGTATCACTTTTCCTCCCATCCTTTTGGTTCTTTTGGACCCGAAATATTAAAACGAGATGTAGGTACGATCTGATCCTGTCTCGTGTCGGCTTTTGAGGAGAAGCACCGCGATGGCAAAACTATCAAGACACGTATTTTAAAAGCCAAGTTCTTCATTTTCTCTCGTGATTTTTTATTTTTTGAAATGGAAAATAACTCTTAATTATTTATTGATATTTTTTTTAGATTTTCCTGTAACCTGTCATGGTTATTTCGTGAACATTTCAAGTCAAAATATTCACATGTTTTCCTTAAAAAAATAAAATAAATATGAACGGAGATTAGGAACAGCTGCAATTGAAGTACGTGTTTTCAGAATTGTGTGTTTTGTACGTGATGGCTAAACATCCATCGGTCTCTCCTCTTATTCTTAAAGACCCGAAATATTAAAATGCGCCCTGACACGGGAGAACGTGACACGTGGCTTAATATGCACGGTTTTTTTTCTAATTAAGTTCCAGTGATATTTTGGTAGTGTATCTGCAACATTGCTCAAAAATTATGCAAGGAAAGTTTAAAAAAATTGAGAACACAATTTCACTCTTACAGAATAAATATTCATGAAGCGAAAATGATTATTGCCCACTTAAGAAATGGTCAAAACCTGGAGTTGTTTCAGATTTATGTTAACTTCAAATTTATTCTTTTGTGTCTGTAGATATAATTTTAATATTTTTTTTATTTATTTTTTTTATTTTTTATTTATGAACAAAACTACAGAGTATTAATTGTTTCTACATTATAAGGTTAAAATATGATTAGTAAATGAACTTTGAACTTTTGAGTCTAACTTTAGACTCTAGCTTATAACTAATGGAGGATTCTCGCAAATTTTATACATGTAAGTCATAAAATTAAATGAAAATGGATTCGTTTACGGCTGAGCTCTTTCGATAGACGGACCCTATTTTGTTGATTTTAACAACGCATTTCTCCCACCAAAAGTGAAATAAGATAATGACGGAGGTCGGACACGAAATTTTGGACAAAAAGCGCTACTTTTGAAGTCTACTTCGTCAAATTTTAAATTTTAAAAGATGCTTGGTCGAGAAAATTCTACAAGAAAACGAATGAAACCATTTTTAAAAGCTCAACTTTCAATTTTAACGGAGTCATTAGCTTTTAGTTTCCACACTTTGTCCGAATGATCCAATTGGCTCGTTCCACTGTGCGCCACGTACCAGTGGCGTGGTCTGTTTCCGATGTATCAATTCATCTGCAATTTAAACCCACGGAAAAGTATCGATAAACAAGGCGTTCTCAACAAACACGTCAAGGATCGATTCTTTAACATAGCTTCAAATGGGGAAGAATCGATAATCGATCATTCACGCCTCGCCACTGCCAAGGACAATATTTTAACGACAACGTTTGTAACTAGGGTAGCGGACCGCGGACCCCACCCGCATCCAATCGGGAAATAAATACCTCCACGATGAACAGAACAAAAGCAGGTGAAACATTCTGCTATGCCTTGTTTCAGAATTTCAGTTCTGTACACACACTGCAGTATTTCAAGTTAAGCTCCCCGGATTTTTAGCACCCGAGCGACTTAACTGCATCATCCCAAATAAATCTTCTGGCCGTTGAATCTACCCGCATTTCTTTCGAGCATGATATCTATGTCGTGTGTGAACCGTGCTTCCTTTCTATATCATTTATTCCTTCGCTTCTGTTTCTGGAGTGTTTTGGACCCTCAAAATTGGGGTCCTTGAAAGGTTATTTTTTATTCTTAGTATGACTCATATTACAATTTGCACATATTACAATTTCAGATCGAGTGTACGATTTTCGAGATTTGGGAAAGCCCTCGGACGTTGCCACTTTTAAATTGATAAGATACAAATTTTCGGGGGATGTGAATATTTTTCCTCCAATTTTTCAGAGAACTCTACTCGCAATTAGATGTAAATTAATTGAAAGAAAGTAATCATAATTCCCGTTAGAAGTGAACATTCTATCGGAGGAAGTTTGGCAACTCTTGAATGTTCGTACGACATTCCCCCTTCATACAGCAGAAAAGGTGTTTTTTTTTTTTATTTATTTTGAATCGATTTATTGTAAGCTTCCGATACAGAAATATAAACAATTAACTTAAATTATGAATAAAGTATAGTGTAAGTAACGACATAATTGTTGCTCATTATTATAAAAATTAAAAGTAGAAGAGAAGTACATCCATTGTTAAAAAAGACACCAAGATTAATGGATGATTAATTTGAGGTGGAAAAGGTGGGTGACAGGGCCTCCCTCTTCAAAATTTAATGTCTTGGAATTGGCGTAGAGGCTCTGGAAAAATATGTTCTCCTACACTGGAAAAAAAAGTTCGATCTCATGAACCAAATGCACGGTATTCAATATCGACCTTAATGTTCGATTCACGTAACAGCTCTCTCAGTTCTAGGAACCGTGTCCTCGGTTCATACAACCGAGTTTTCGCAAACCAAGCTGAACCATAGATAAAACTCGGTTCCATGAGCCGATGATAGGGTGCCTAGAACCGAGGAAGCGGTTATATGAGCCGAATAGTACGGCAGATATTGAACACAGTGCATTCGCTTCATAAAACCAAACTTCTTTTCTTAGTGTAGGGAATTGACCATCATAGACTCCAATATTAAAGAGACATTTTTTACGTTCTCCTTGAAAAGTTTAGAATACAAGCGTATTTCATGGCGAATCGATGGGTGCATCATTTTTCGATGTAAGCCATCGATTTCTTGCAATCTTGCACTCGCGAAGGTGCGACTCACCGTCGTTGTCCTCGGAACGGAGTGCGTTGCCACGGGCCGATGCGTATTCGCAAGATGGTAAGCGGTGATTGCAAATCCCATCGTCAGAATTGGTAAGACAATAAAACCTTGTTGGTAACAAGAAACGCGTATGACCCAAATTACTATTTTAGCTCCTCGTTGGAACGCAGGAGGATCACTCTGACTCGTTGCATCGAATCGCTCAGGCATTCTTGTGTTATGTTACCGTACGATCATTTTTTCCCTTATGGTTAAGAGTACTTCTCGCAGGAATGCTTCATTTTGCACGGGCGATCAGGTTTGATCCTTTCGCAGATTTTTTTAACTAAACGCTTGGGATATATCAATTTTTGACGTTTTAACGTTTTTTTTTCCCCCTAGTTGTTATAAACGGTTTCCTTTGGAGAAGGTTAGTTTCGTTTCGTCAAGCATCATTTTTCATTTTTTTTAAACAAAAGTTGGAGTATGCCTTTACTGAGAGATAAGATTGAAACGGAGTCTCTTGAGGACCTTCACGATCCAGAGGAATGGCGGTAATTTTATATGGGGGAGGATTCAACTCATACACAGCACAGAACCCTAATGCAATCTTACTTTATACAGTGTTACTCATCTTAGACATCAACATTGTCATGTTGATCTGCCACTGCAGGAGGAATGTACGCAAATAGCTATAGAAAAGAGTCTGAAAAAAAATAGCGAGGCAAGTGTTGTTGTTAACGAGGAAATATTGAATCCGCTAGTGTAAGTTTTTCAACATTCCTAGCGTACAAATGGAGGATATCTGGACGTATCTGTGCTGAAAGGAACTATGTCTCACGCAAACCCTATGCACATAGCTCATTTTATCATAATGTCCATCCGTGTGCTTCCGTGAGAGATTGAACTGGAGACTTTAACGCTCGGGTAGAAAAATAGACGGATGAAACCTCAGGAGTTGACTGCAGAGGATATAGTTCATTTTATCATAGCGTCCATCTGTGTGCTTCCGTGAGAGATTGAACTGGAGACTTTAACGCTCGGGTAGAAAAATAGACGGATGAAACCTCAGGAGTTGACTGTAGAGGAGATGCAACATTCTGGTCATTATTTTTTGCCTGCGTACAAATGTAGGATCTCTGTACGCCTCGTCTGAAATGCGGCAACGTTTTGAAGGCTCATACGGATTTCTCTTAGCACAGCAGTTTCGAGGTTAATATTTAAAACCAAAATGGGCCGTTTTTGGATTTTCTGGTATCGGTGTAGGCAGAGACAAGAGACCCTCCGCTGGCCTCCTAGCGACAGGTGGAAGCTTTTACTTTCGGGGTTTCAACAATTCCTTATGGACAATCATGAGCGAGCAACAGTCATCACCCTATTTTCGGCTGTTGACTTACCTACATGGTCGATGATGAGCTTCGGATGACGTCATAAGCCAAACAACTTTCCCAAACGTCGGCCATTTTCGGCTTGTTTGCAAAACGAAACTGCCAACACGTTGTTGAACATCAACCATGTAGGTAAGTCAACAGTAGAATGCTGAAGTCCCGAAAGTAAAAGCTTCCACCATGGCCAAGTTACTAGTGGAGGGTCTCTTGTC